GCCCCCTGTCTTTTATGTATACTATCAATTTATACTTACCATCCATTTATTTCTTTGCTACTTTTCATCTGCATTCCAATAGAACATCTCAGATTAGTGTTCTCCAACAGGTGTGTTGATGGTTGCCAGGCACAATGCATCAAAGTCACCCAGTGAGCTTGTTACTGCTCTCCAGGGGTGGTTACACTCATGCAATGGTGATGAGAAGTGGGGAGATCAAGAGGAGATTCCAAGCAATCAAGAAGCATACAGGTCTCCAATGTGGTTTGGAGCTTTGTGAGAGGTGGGCTGGCCAGATTATGGAGTAGCTTTATTTCATGCAAGAGAGTTTATACTTTGTCCTAAGGCATGGGGGAGTTACTGAGAAATCATTCAGGGGAGTTTCATGATCAGGTTTGCATCTTAGAGGGCATACCCTTGAAACATGAAGAGAGATGGAACGCAGCAGCCACTTTTGCATGATCACAAAACACAAGTGTGCTCTAGTTGGTTGTAAAGGAAGTCACAAGTAAATTGTTTTATAATGTGTTAAAATTCCAAATGTTTTTAAAAAAATTAGAGTAGACTCAAGGTTATAATAGTATTCTCAAGTGCAACCTAGGCTTTCTTACACTAGAAAGTGGCCATGTAACAGCTCAGCCATTTGGAATTGTGCAACTGTGGGGGTGTGTACGCATGTTCGAACCTTCAGTATACATCCTATAGCAGGGGTAATGCTATGTGCTCGTCAAGTCCCATTTCATTTACCTTTTTTTTGACATACAGAATGACTGCATTTCCCTGTCTTCGTTGGTGTTAATTTGGGTCTATGGGACTGATTTCTGGCCAACAAGATTGGCCCTTAAGAACTGCACTTATAGTTTTCAGCCTCTTCTTTTATTTCATTAGCTTTATTTCCAACAGAAATATAATGCTGGCCACATTTAAATTTGAAATGTTCAGTAACCATGTCAAAAACAGTTAAAACAAACAGGTGAATTTCTAATAATTTAAATTTTGATAATATATTTAACTTAGTACATCCAAATTGTTATCAATTCAACATTTATCAATATAAAAATTGGCAAAGTATTTTACATTAAAAAAATATTGAATTGGGTGAAAGTGATTAAAAGATATAGATTTCTAGTTATAAGTAAGTCCTGGGGATGCAATGTACAGCATGGTGACTAATGATAGTTAACAATACTGAATATTTGAAAGTTGTTAAGAGAGTACATCTTGAAAAGTTCTCATCATAAGAAAATGAAGTTATAACTGTGTGATAATAGATGTTAACTAAATTATTGTGGTAATCATTGTATAATATATATCAAATCATTATGTTATATACCTAAAACTAATACAATGTTATATGTCAATTATATCTCAATTTTTTTTAAAAAGGGAAAATAATCTGAATCCCTAGAACTAAGGAGCCAGAATGAAAAACAAGTATTTCAGTGTTTCACTGCTCCAACTCTCTCAAAATACTTAGAATATGTTTTTTACAGTCTCCCTAATATCTTGAATCCTGCCTGTCTCTGGTAAGATTGCTCATGTTCCTGTACCTACGTAAAATGTATGCTAAATGTACTGGTAGAACCCTGTTCGTGTGAGCCACACATTAAAATTATAACCCTCACAATTAATAACTGAGCTCTTGCAAAGAATTACTCTAAAAAAATAACAATAAAAGAAATGTTGAAATCGGTATGTATTTTACACTTATAACACGACTCATTTGGGACTAGCTACATTTCAAGTGCTCAACAGTCAGATGTGTTAGTGGTTACTCCATTAGACAGTGCAGTTCTTGATGTGCTGCTACAAGAAGACAGAACCTGAACCTCTGTCAGACTGAGTCCCTGAATGTCTAAGTGGAGCAGAGCTTCCTGAGCGTCCCTGTGGGACAGTAACACCAGTAAGCAATAAACTTTTGTTTACTTGGTCTTTGTCTGTGACAACAGCTCTTTTTTTGGGGACCTGTAACCCCTTTTATTTTCTCTGTTTAAAATCAAACAGAAAACAAATATCAATTCTGTTATACACTAACATTTTCAAAGTACATCATTTGTACAAGAGAAGGACTAAGAACAGAAATGTGTTATAGAGATCCCAACGCCTCACACAGCCACTTCACAGTCGTCAGCATGAAACAAAGTCACAGAATTCTTTGCCAGGTATTTTAGGAAATTGTGAAGATAATTCAGTAACAAAGCAAGGCTCTTCTTATCCTGAGGTGTGTAGGCTCACATTGCTGCGATTCGTGCAAATAATCTCAGTAGATGTGGCGCTCCATACACCTGGGACATGGGTGCATACTGTGGTGTGACAACTCTTAATTACCTACTCTTAAACACAAGAAAACTTATGGAGTTTTTGTCACTGATTAGATGAAGGGAATGAGTGAAATTGAAATTCAGGTCTCCCACTCAGATGAGTGGGTGATATCATTTGAGTAGATAAGAAAAGTCAGTAGGAGAAGCTAGTTTGGGAGAAGAGCTAGTGAGTTTAATTTTCTCTCTGTTGACTTGAGACATCTATGGGCTATTGGTTCCAAGTTTACTTTAATTGACTGTCAGGTCAGGTGCTGATGGTCTGGCTCTCAAGGGACCACAAGCTAGTTAAATAGATAAGCCTATATAGCATGTAAGAGTAGTTATAAACGATGCCCACAGAGCTCTTGCAGCCCAGAAGAAAGGAACCTAATCTGGGATCACTGCAGTGATGGGTCTGGGAAGGTTCTTTAGAAGAAACGACACCTAAGTAGAGTCTTAAAGCATGAGCAGAGCCGTGGGGTAGGACAGAGTGTGAAGGCAGACGTCTTAGTCTTATTGGGCTTCAAAAACAAAACACCACATACTTGGTGGCTTATAAAAAACAGGAATTTATTTTTTACAGTTCTGGAGGCTGGAAGTCAGAGATCAAGGTGCCAACATAATTGAGTAAGGGCTTTCTTCCAGTCAAAGACTTTTTGTTGTACCTGTCAGAACGGGCGAGGGGGTTAGGTTTCATATGAATGAAAGCAGAGGGGCTGGAGAAGATGACCCCTGGGTTTGGAATTGGAGAAGAAGCAGAGAAAAGTCATGGGCCTCTGAATGAGGCTGGAGCATGCATCCTGACAATCAAGAAGAAGTGCAGAAGATGGTCTTTCAAGAAACACGGAGCCTGTGGACCAGCTGGAGTACTTCCAGGGGTCTCAGAAGTAGGGCAAGCCAGCATTCTGGGCCATAGCATGGAAAAATGGCTGACTCAAAACTTGAAACTACTCTGGAATTGAATGTGATTCAGTTTTTATTTTACTCGGGCTGAACTTTTCTCATACTTCAAGTTTGTTCTGCCTCATTTTTCTGTGTCCTGGGATGCAATGGATCAAAGGCCCAGAGAAGGAGGGATCATCCTAGGGATATGGCCAGAGGGAGAGAAAAATGTTTTGTTCTAGATCTCTGGTTGTCATTAACCTTCAAAAGAAGCTTGAGTTTGAGGAGAGGCTGAATATTCTAGTTTGAAAACTATGTCTTCTTCCAGAACTTTGCCCTTCCTGTTAAACCTCAGGTCACATTTTTGGGAGAGTCTGTTCTTTTTCCTATATGATCTTTAATAAAAACATACCATTTTCCCAGAGTCATAATTTTATTGGCTTAATTCATTTTGGGATGCTGGTGTCCACAACACTGGGTGGATTGAGGGTGTTTTTACTCAATGGCATGCTTTGTTTTGCTCTATAGAAGAATTTGCATTCATTTTTAATAGGGAAGACTTGAGCTGGCTGAAGTAATTATTTATTTTTTCTTTTATTGATTTTTAGGGAGAGAGAGAGAGAGAGATAGAAATATCAAAGAGAGAGAACATCAATTGGCCGCTTGCTGCATGCCCCCCACTGGGGATTGGGACCACAGCCTGGGCATGTGTCCTGACTGGGATTCGAACTGGCAACCTCTTGGTGCATTGGTTGACGCTCAACCACTGAGCCACACCAGCCGGATTGGCTTAAGTACTTTTTTATTTATTTTTTTTATTTTTTATTTTTTATCCTCACCCGAAGATATTTTTCCATTTTTTGTACAGATAGAGTGGGAGGGAGAGAGAGGAAGGAGAGAGAGAGAGAAACATCGACGTGAAGGGACACATTGAGTAGCTGCCACCCGCACGACCAACCAGAGACGGGGACAAACTGCAACTGAAGTACGTGCCCTCGTGCCCTCAGCGGGAACCGAACCCGGATCTCTCCGGACCGTAGGCCGACGCTCTAACCGCTGAGCCAAACCAGCCAGGGCGGCTTAAGTACTTTTAATGAGAAGGAATAAGAAAACAAATTTTCTTTCCAATTTTTGTTATTACAAATTGTTTTTATTAAAGGGTTTTACAGAGCAGAGATTAGACTTGCTGGCTCTTGTGAAACCTCAACAATTGAAAAACTTAAGTTAATAAATATAAAATTAGGCTTAGTCTTTTTTCCCCCAGCCATGTTAAGCATTCCTACGAGACAAAGAGGAGAGAAATCCTGTATCCATATGTAGTACAAACGCAGAAATCCTCACCTGCCATTTATTTAGTCCTATCTAGGATTTTCCTAGGCAGAACAATCACACAATTTCATTTTTCTCTGAAGACTTGAGAAACATAAATAGATTCATAAATAGCTCAAATAAATATAGGTTTTACCTTTTAAATAATAAAATTCCTAAGTCTGACATTCTGCCTTAAAAATTAAAATAAGACATGCAACTCATCAAAATGGAATCTTCCACCCCAAAGTTATCTTGGGGTCTATTAAATACATAAATAATTTAAAGCCCTTAGAAAAGCAAGTGAGAAGCAAATTGGTACCCAATCTAAACCTTCCTCCTTGGGGAGCAGGAAAGATGATTCAGATTCAATGTCTGAACCAAAGGTTACCTCTGAAGCTTCAGTTGAATGAACTCATTTAAGAACCCTGGTGAGCTTGGTCAGAAATGGGCTGGGTATACTCCAGAAAACCTAACTAATTTGGGGAGCTGGATTCAGACCGGAAACTCTTAGCCCACGTGGCGGACAATGGGGGTGACGCAGGTGCAGCCCACATTCACCAGCATCTTCTCCAGCCGGAAGGAGTGGGGACAGTGCTGAGGCTCCCTGCGCAAAACCATGATCTCTTGCTGGATGGGGACGGAGTTCAGGTGATGGTCCATCTTCCCCTCGGGACTGATGCAGTACAGGTGGCGACACTTAGCCTCCCAGATCACACGGGGATATCTCTCAGGGTCCACATTGGAGCTATTGTGGGAGACAAAAGCCAGGAAGAAAGTGAATTCATGGCAAAGCAGCAAGGACATCAAATAGGAATAACCGAAGGAAGACAAATTCAGAGGCTGACAAATAATAGGCATCGCAAGCTCTCTAAGGGCTGTTAGTCAGAAAAAGAAGCAGTTTCAGGAAAACTTGGATTTTTAAGCACATGAAATGATATAGAAAAAGGCAATGATCAATTTTCCCGTTTCTTTGAAGAATGAACAAAATAAGATAGACTGAGACTACAGAAGGGATTAAGTTTCACATAGAGGATGCTTTTCTTAAGATACATTTGATAGATGGATAAAGACCAAGGGAATCATCTAGGAGTAAGATAGTTGTTAATCTGGCTTAATGAAATTTGTCTTTGAAACATGGAATGCATCAAAATTTTATCTGACAAGCACATCCCTGGAACAGAGCCCAGAGCTGATTAGAAGGGCGGGAAACAAAGGCTTAAATCCTCTATATCCCTTTTTCTCCCTGTTTCCTCCAGCTGAGTGACTGATTTGCTTTGAATTTTAATTGATGTATTTGAACTATTCTTACTAATGGGAAGAGGAGAAGAGACCCTTCAGTCAGGTGACTCTGTAGGTGCCACATTATTGAGGCTTATTTGCATAAAATCAAATGATCAGAATACATTTTTTATTTAATTCTCCATGGGGGTCTAAATACTAGATGTACTAAGGACACAGCAAATATGGGTCTATTGGGGACGTAGACCAAAACTATCTAACCTAAAAAAAGGTGGAATTATCCAACATGATACTTCTTCCTCCACTGAAATTCAAACTATATTTTCCCAGTGCTAGACATAAGGGCATAAAAATCCTAGTTAATTAGTAGTAATTTACAAGAAATCTTCTCAAGGGCATCCCTTGTAAAGACAGCGAATTCAAGCAATTATCCCTATGATTAAATGTCAATTTTAAAAATAAACAATGGGCTTGGGGTATCATAAATGTTAGAATGATGACCACCATTAATCTGAGTGGGTTTTTGGTGTCAGTGACAATGAGACTGAATAAGATAGGTCATGGGGGCAGAGATGTCCTGTGCTCTAGCAAATAAGTTTGAAGAATGAAAGTTTGAGAATCATTGTTTTGCACAATGGTTCTTCCGGGTTCGACTGATGATACTGAGTGAGTAAAATTTTTCCTCAAGGTGATTTAGGTGGCAGTCTGATGCATAAAAGGCAGAAGAATATAGAGATTTTATCTGGGGCCCATACGTACTGGAGATCCCAAGGTGAGGTGGATCGGTTGTAGTAATCTGAAGAAGGCCTTCTGGAGTTTGTTTTTCGGTTAAGGATGTTTAGGTTGACCCTCACAGTCTGAGGGAAGTTCTTGTCCACAGTATTTGGGCATCCTGGATCTCGTGGGATTGCTATTCCTGCCTTTACTGTAGCCACCAGACTCAGCAGCAGCAGCAGTGACTGGAACTGAATGGAAAAGGAGAGAGAGGTGAGAGATTGGTTTAGTAGGTGGTTTTTGTTAACAAGTTGTGATAATGATTGTATTACTTATCACAGACAACATACTATATTCCAGGATGATCTATTCTAAATTTTCAGATCAGTTAAATAAAAAAACTGGTTAGGTGAATAAAATAATGCTAAGACCACAGAGTTTTTACCAGTATTGAACATTCATATTTTGATTTAGGAAAGGCATGTTATTCATTGGCTGGCAGTAATTTTAGTAGAAATGACAAGTCATCATCCTGTCATTACCTGCATCATTGCCAGGTTATTGGGATAATATTGACCTTGATTTCCTAGGAGGAAATGTCTCCCTGTACCATTGTGCTTTGTCCTATCATTCTGTGAAACCCTAAAAGGCAAATGGCCATAGAAAATCCACGTGGTATCAGTATTTGTGTTAGAAATGCTATTTGTACCAGTGGCAAACATCCAAGACTGGATCCCCCTTATGTTTTCTTAGGTATATTTTGCAGTTTTCTAAATTTACATATATTGATTCTGTAATCAAATTAAATTTCAAAATAAATATTTTAAAAATATAAAAAACATTTAAGCTACACTTACGCTGTATCTGATTACAATATGTGGGTTTGGCATACCAAGACTATGGTATAATAATAGAATAAAGGAAAGAAAAGTCATTGCCTCAACTTATTAAATCCTCCAAGATAGAGACCCATTTTATTTTGGATTAAAAAAAAATGCTTTGGGAGCATTATATCAAATCATTTGTACTCAGAAAAGTAGGTTTTCAATAAATGTTCTTTCTAACGGCATGGCATTATGTGGCACTTCTCTGTGTGGTTTAGCCTCAGTACAGCTATCTTTCAGTTTTAATCTCATTTTTCAAATTGATGTATATCATTTCTTGAAAATGCTATACAAAAACAAGTATCTACCAAAGATTTCACTTCCCATTCTACACGATTAGTATTCTCAGATCCCTATAGTCAGAATCCAGAATTTCATGCCCACGGTTCAGAAGTATTATCTGGTCCGTATCAACAAAAGCATTGCACGTTAGTGCAGGACTCACCACAGAGGAAGTTCTCACAGGAGCCATGGTAGTTTTCTTGATTCACTGGAGATGGATGAGCATGTGCCTGCTGTGAGATGGGTAGAGTGCTGTGCTGTCTTCTCTCTTTTTATAGAGCTTTGATCCGTCTGTGGTCACTTACGTTGGCGTGTTCAGGGGTGACACCATTTTGGTCAAAAGTTCCATTCCCAAATGAGGTCAGAGAAGAACCTCCCCTTCATGGCTAGTAATACCTGCTTGATATCATAAAGGAAACTGGGAAGGACAGAAATTTATGTTTCTAAAGACTATTTCCTCTCTTCATCCTTCAAGGAACTATTACGTGTCAGAAGCTGAACAAAGATGCTCTACTTCTTAACTGATACCATGTATTTATGGGCATATGTGAAGCTGCCATAAGAGCTGTGCTTTATTTTAATGACATATGGGAAAATAAAAGTTTGATATTAACACTCAGGTTTTCTGGTGTCATGCATCCTAATTCCCATTTGCTAATTCCTTTCCTCATCATAGTCCCTAACCAGATGTGATGGAGGCCATTTCAGAAACTACTCAGAACCTCACCATATAAGCAAACAAAAAAGGAATACATAATTTAGTGATAACTGGATAGTTGTTTTGTTAAATTAACACCTGCTTTGTTGATGTTTGTTCTGCTAAGGCACTAATTTACTATTAAATGCGCATCTAACTAAGCAACTTGTTAATTCATACAATTCTTCAGGAGGAATGAATTGGAGGTGGAGGGAGGAGATGTAGAGAGACAATGGAAGGCATTAAAATGAAGATAGAGACTGGAGAAAGGTGATGGAGGTAGAGAAAAACAGGGCAATGGCAGTAGAAAATGACAGCAATAAGAAGGGAGTGGAGGAATAAGGAGGAATAAGAAGGAAAGAGAGAAAGACATGGTTTTCTCCATCCTTTTCTGTTCATTGTCTAAGTGAAATGAACAGGAACACTGAGAACCAGCACAAGGATGATAAAGAGGAGGGGTGAGTGGATACAGATGTAGTTGCTACATGTTACCCTCTCTCTGCCCCTTCTCCCCAGTGAGTTGAACATGGCTCCCAGGTTTTCTCAGCTGGTATCTCATATTATTCATGAGGCTGACTAGTCGTTCCAACTCAACAGTTGGGGTGTATAAGAAATTTGCTGAATCTTGAGCCTGTTTGTCCTGAGATACATTCCTCTTTGCCCTGTTCTACTCTGTATCTCAGAGAACTGACCCTTCAAGCTGCTTTTTCAGACTTCCTGGTCAGCTGGCTCTTAGCTGTGTTTAGCCAGAGGGCAGGAGAGTGGAGTGGAGAGATGTAAGGGGACAGGGTAGAAGGGGTCTCCTGGAGCACTGCTAGCTTCTTTTGTGTTTCCAGCCTTGAGATGGGAGTAGCCTCTTGCTGATACCAAACTTAATCACCATGGAATCACCAATTCCTTGCATTAAATTTCCTCTGTTGCAAATGCTGGGAGTGACTTCTGTTTTACTGGCTAGATAGATCCTGACTGATCAGTGAAGGAGGTCATGAGCTGCTGAATCTCAGAAGTAATGGCAGATGATCTTGATGGCAAAGCAGATTCAGATAGAAAAGTAAAATGCAACCTCACATGATTTCCCTAGTTCTGGTGTTGACACAGCTATCTCTCCTTGAAGACATGGAGTCGCTATGAACTCTCTTGTTCCTCCTCTATGTATGATCAGAACAACCTTAGAGGCTGCTGTGTCTCTCACATCTGTTACCTATTCCCAGACCTACTGCCGTTCCTCCAACTTACACTCTCACCCACTTGAGCTGTTTTAATAACCACTTTTACTCTTCCCAATTGCTGTCTTTTACCCACCTTCAACATTCCTGCAATAATGACTCTCAAAACATGACATTGATTGTGCCTTTTCTTGTCCCACTTGCTTGTGTGCAAAACAAAATGCAAAAACCTCAGCATTTGAATTGGCATTTGAGATCTGCACCATTTCTAGTTTCACCTCCTACCATGATCCATGACCTGGGCTCATAGGTCCTGCTCATCCTCCTTGTAATGCCCATACAACTTTTATTTTTATTTATTTATTTATTTATTTATTTTTTTTTTATCCTCACCGGAGGACATTTTTCCATTTTTTGTTCAGGTAGAGTGGGGGGGAGAGAGAGGAACAGAGAGAGAGAGAGAAACATCGATGTGAAAGGGACACATCGAGTGGCTGCCACCCGCACAACCGACCAGGGCCGGGGACAAACTGCAACTGAGGTACGTGCCCTTAGCGGGAACCGAACCCGGGTCTCTCAGGACCGCAGGCCGACGCTCTAACCGCTGAGCCAAACCGGCCAGGGCCCATACAACTTTTAAAGCACTGTCTCTGAAATGCCCTTCCCCATCCTCGGTTTATCAAATGCCACTTGTCCTTCGAGATCCTGTTCAAATGTGTCTTCTATGTCTGGAAGTCTCTCCCGATTTTAGTTGGAATGAATGGCTTCTATAACATGTAGCTTGTACCTATCTCCCTAGTAACTTTTGCTTCATTTTGCACTGAGTTTTATTTGGCTGGGAAAGGTATGTTTAGGATACATGTCTATTTCCATTTTTAGATTTTACTGCAATCTTTCAAAGCCAGTGTGTTATTTATCTTTGTAACTGCTGTGGTGCCTAATGTTAAACTTTAGACAAGAGTCTTCACAGATTGCTTTGTTGTTGCTGATTTCTCTCTGATATACAGCTGTTCATGCATATTTCTAGTGTATTGCATGTTGTTTGTTTATATATCTTTTTTTTTTCTAGACTGCGAACTACCTAGAGATGGGTAGTTGTCTTATTAGTCTTTGTATCACCTAACATAGTGTCTAGTAAATAGTAATTGCTCAATATTTTTACTGATTGACGGTATGAATAATTTTATTTGGGTAGTTCAGAATCTTGAATTTTCTTTTTGGGACCCAGTTGCATTCCAATGACTATATTGAGCTGTCTAATATCTTGACTTTTCATCCTGATCCTTTTGAAAGTAGTATGACGAGGTTGTGGCCTATTTTGGACCACCTGCAGTTGAGAAAAGGGTTCCTTGCTTGTTGCTTTCTAACAAAGATGTGGTGGAGAAGAATGTGTTTGCTGCCAGTCCTTTTGGTGGATGGCTAAGAAGGAAAAGCTGTCTGGAGCTCATCTGCCTGTTTGCCTCCTGTGCCAATGAAATCCAGCCTGTGTGCCATTCTTTGAAATATCAACCCTTGCTTTAAAATAAGATTGGGGAAACAAGGCTGGTTTTTGTAAAAGTGTAAATATGGTAATATTGAAGTGGTGGTAGAAGCTGGTTATGCTTAGCCTTGAGTAGAACTAGTTTCTCAGGTGTACATTTGAGCTGGAAACCTATGACTCGTAGAGGAACAGTCAGAAGCACAAAGAGAGTGTAGAGAGTAGGGTGGGGCTTTTCCTCTGAATTTGTCTACAGAGGCAGCTGGCTCAGGTTTTGATCCCAGTCTGTTGAAGAAGAAGAAATGCTGGACTAAGAATTAGAGTGTCTGGAACACTGGCTGAGAGGGCACTTTTGTTTTCATTGTGGACCTGCCATTAACTACTCATGACCTTGGGTACTTTATGTCTTTGAGGCTCAGTTTCCCTCTTTATAAAATGAGTTTTTGAATTTTGACAGTTACAGTCTAGATGGTGAAGTAGGTGGTAGCTGCACTTACCTCCTCCCATGACCATGTCAAAAATTACAACTAAATTACAAAACAATCAACCAGAAGAATTATCTAAAGACTAGCTAAGCAGAAGTCCTACCACTAAGGATATAAAGAAGAAACCACATGGAAACTGATAGGAGGTACAGAGATGCTAATTGGGCTGGCCCTGCACCCATGTGTGGCCATTGAGAATTAGGTGGCATATCTCAGCAGCAGAGGTCCCCCATGAGGAGTGAGGGGACTCAATCCCATACCAGGATCCACACCATGAAACACCAGTGCCAAGAGAGTGGCCCTCACAACATCTGGCTGTAAAAATCAGCAGGGATTCCATCCCTCTGGGTGAGATGGGAGGCTGCTGGAAATCCAAGCGTCCTCTTAATGGGCCTGTGCACAGACTCACTAGCTCACAGGCTCCAGTGAAGGGACAGCAGCTGGGGGTGGTGGTGACAGAGACACACAGGGAGAAGCTGAGTTTTAAGCTTCAGGGCAAGCGCTGGAGGGGCATAGCAAAATTAATCCTAAGAGGGATATTCATAGCAATACAGCCTACCTCAAGAAACAAGACAAATCTCAAGTAAGCAATCTAAACTTACACCTAAAGGAAAAGAAAAAGAACAACAAACAAAACTCAAAGAGAGTCTAAGGAAGGAATAAAAATCAGAGTGGAAATAAACAAAATAGAGTCTAAAAATGCAAATGGTCAATGAAACCAAGAGCTGGTTCTTTGAAAAAATAAAAAAGATTGGTGAATCTTTAACTAGACTTATCAAGATAAAAAGAAAGAGGACCCAAGTAAATAAAATCAGAAATGAAAGAGAAGTGACAACTGACACCATAGAATTACAAAAGGTATAAGAAAATAATATTAACAATTATATGCCAACAAGTGGGACAATCAGAAATGAATGGATCAATTTCTAGAAATATACAATCTTGCAAGACTGAATCGAGGAGAAATAAAAAATATTACAGATCAATTACTACCAATGAAGTAAAATCAGTAAATTACAATCTCCCAACAAAGTAAAGTCCTGGACCAGGTGGCTTCATAGGTGAATTTCAGCAAATATTTAAAGAAGAATTAACACCTATCCTTCTGAAACTATTAAAAAAATACAAGAGGAGGGAAGAAAGTCTGTCAAACTCATTTTATGGGGCCACTAGTATCCTGATTCCAAAACCAGACAAAGACAAAAAAAGAAAATTATAGGCCAGTATTTCTGATGAACAGAGATGCAAAGTTCCTCAACAAAATATAAATAAACCAGATTCAGCAGTACATTTACACACCATGATCAAGTGGGATTTATTCCTGTGATGCAAGGTTGGTTCAAAATCTGCAAATCAATTAAAATG